AACACTATTGCGCACCATATAAAAAAATTATTTTCAATAATTTAAAATGACCAAATTACCCCCATCATTTTTCAGGGTCATTTTATATTTTTGGAAATGTTTTTTATATATTTTTTAATTGTGCGCCCTAGTTTTTAGTATACACATCTGTTTAGTATGCACGTCTAAAATTTCATTATAATCCGATTTCTAAAAAGAATATTAAAGTTCATATAGTGATATGCATTTTGAACCACATGATGAAGATCCGACAACTTCCATTTCACTTATATTACTATTCATTATAGCTGCGCAGCTATTGTTGGCTTTATATATATATATATATATGTGTGTGTGTACATATGCAAAAATGTATAGGCATAGGTTTGTATAGAAAAACATCTATATTACAATATTAGAACATTATTCGTTTTTTTTGACGATGGGAGCATCATTTTATGCAACATTTAATGTTTTTCCTTGCACAGGAATTGGATAGCTTTCTATATCTAGTATTTGCAACTGAAAAAACTAGCTCTGTATTGGTTTATCTGCCATGTTGGTGATTTGAGCGTATGGTTCATTCCTAGTGGGTTAGTGTTTTGGTCAGTCGATAACACATTTAGAAATAATAAAAAAATTTCTACCCAGTCTAAAAACAACGTAGTCTTTGGACTCCTCAGAACATGGAAGTGCGCTGGTTATTTTTTAAAAGCAACATGAATTCATTTGATTAGTTCTATTTGAGCGCTGGTTATTTTTTAAAAGCAACATGAATTCATTTGATTAGTTCTATTTGAGCCCTGCTACTACTTTTCCGATTGTCAGATAGAAAGATTCCTCAAATTTTAATCTTTCTATGTCCCAGATTATGAAAATGCTCCCAATTATTTTTAAAGACAACCCAGGTTTCTTTAAAAAAACTTGTCCCAAATAATTTCTCTTCTCAAACGACCATGTTACTCTAATTAGTATGGCATACATTCTCTCAAACGACCATGTTACTCTAATTAGTATGGCATACATTCTCTTTTTCACGTTCCTTGTGTTCCTCGACTTAGTTTTGTATGAGCCCCTCCAAAATGGCCTTCAAAATGGTCTCTATTCTGTGGAGTAGAGCCCCTCCAAAATGGCCCTCCAAAATGGTCTCTATTCGGTGGAGTAGAGCCCCTCCAAAATGGTCTCTATTCTGTGGAGTAGAGCAATACAGTTCTGTAGCTTGTCCTAAATAACGTCTCTTTCTAATTAGTTTTCTTTGAACTTGTGTTCGTCCTCTTTACTATTTTGGTTTAAATAACGTCTCTTGTGTTCGTCCTCTTTACTATTTTGGTTTAAATAACGTCTCTTTCTAATTAGTTTTCTTTGAACTTCGTCTCTTTCTAATTGGTTTTCTTTGAACTTGTGTTCCTCCTCTTTACTAGTTTGGCTAGTTTGGTTTAAATAACGTCTCTTTCTAATTAGTTTTCTTTGAACTTGTGTGTTCCTCCTCTTTACTAGTTTGGCTTCCTCTTTAGATTTAAACGTCTCTTACTAATTAGTTTTCTTTGAACTTGTGTGTTCCTCCTCTTTACTAGTTTGGCCTCCTCCTTACTAGTTTGGTTTTAAGTCTGGCAAAGTGGTCTCTAGAAACATCTTAAAAATTGGTTGCTTTCCCTATAACATTAGGATCTAACTTTGGGTTCTTTTAGGTATGGAGGGGTTATGTATGCGAGGTGTCGTCTTCAGGCCTTTGTACTTCAGTTGGTCGATTAACACCTGATATGTACAATCAAATGGTTGCTGCAACTAATGTGAGCTATGGCCTTTATCGCTATGGCCCCTTCCTCACCCAATTGGAGGACTGCACTTTCGTTAGGGAGACGTTCAATACTATCAGTGACAGAGATTGTCCAGGCTTGAGGCGATATAGCAAGTTGATTTACATTGGCCTTGTTATGGTCTCATCAGCTGTGATGCTTTCACTCATCTTTTGGGTCATCTATTCTAGAGAGAGGCGACACCGCGTTTATAATAAGAGGCACCGTGGGGCATCAGCTCATGCACTAACGCAAGACAAGGGTCCATAGATGATTCTTACGTGGTGGTTTCTCTTGCTTTTAGGTTTGATTTCTTGGTTCTTGATTCTTGCATGGTGGTGCTCTTGCTTTTACGTAAGGTATTGTTAAAAATTGATTTCTTGTTTGTATGTTAGAACATGTCTAATGTTAGCCATGTAAAATGAACGTGTAGTAAAATGAATATAAAATGAATGGCTGTGATTTTTTTACAAAGTAAAATGAATGTCCGAATGTCTATGATTTTTTACAAAGTAAAATGAATGTCCTTGAAGTATCAGCCAGAATGCCACATCCCCGTTTCTTTTAAATGTTGTACAGACCTAATGTGCCCAAAAAGCTGATTACAGATCGACGTTTCTCATGGGCGGCGGGGATATGTCCATGCATCCAAATGTATTCATGGTGAACAGGTGAGGCTACATGTTTCTTATAAATGGATTTTCTTGTTTGCAGGTCACATGTGGTGGGATGTGTATATAAACAGTGGATTCACCCTCATAGGTGCAGAGAAGCATTTTGATGTTGTGGTCTTTCTGATGCCAGTTTCGCTGTCTTTCGACTTTGTATATACTTCGGTGTATATATGTCGGAGCCAGAGGATAGAGATGTACATTGGTTGAATTCTGAATCTGGGTAAGGGCATCATCTGACAGCTTTGGTCGAGCATAGAGATGTTTGGATGAATTCTGAATCTGGGTGACATGGACGGCCAAGATTTTGAAGAAGAACATTTTTGGGTTCACCATTCCACGCACTATTTGCTTCATGACACTAGATGGGTTCCATTTTTAGAGATTTGAAGAATATAGGTTCTCCATTTTACACAGCTTCGTTACATTAGATTAGTATGTTTGAATTTGTGATGGTTGAGTATAGAATTTCGTGATTATCACATCGATCCACCATGGTAGTAATTTATCCCCACCTTGCAATCAATTCCTTCGTGCTCTAATGGTAGCTGCTGCATTGCATGGTGAGATGTGCTCAGTCAAAGGCTAGTGATTGTGCTGATTGGAACGAGCTCGAGGGTGTACAGGTTCTTGCTTTGAATAGGCGATTTGATTAATAATATATAGTATTATGAGAATGATTATGTTTATTTCCAATAGACAGATTTGTGGTGATTGTAGTCCTAGAACGTCTTGAACTGTGGGGTGTGGAGCAGAAGTGGCTCTCGTATGAGGGATCTTTGGGTGTGGGTAGTGAATGAAAGTCCTTTGAGCGAAATGATATAATAGAGCACATAACCAGGAAGGAGGCCTGCGCTTCAATGGTGGCTCACACCCAAAACCCACAGCTATAACCCTAATCTCACCTGAACAGAGATCCTCTTTTCCCTGGGAAGGAGATGTCTTGGTAGCCAAAGCATCTTTATTCCTTTTTCGTGTAAAAATACCTGCACGAGAGTACCTTGGTGTCCATGAGGCGCTTATCAAAAACCTCATGGAGGCGCTGACTTAGCTTCTTCATGCACCCCTGCCACCACCTGCAATTCTAGTGACATTGGAGGCGGTGCCTCAGCTTCTTCATGCACCCCTGCCACCACCTGCAATTCCAGTGACATTGTCAGTTGTGCCTCGAGCATGGGCAAAAATGATGCTCGGTTATTTTTCACTTCACTTGAGGTGCAAGTTTTAACCGATAATATTGAGATTAGATGAACGTCCAATGGTTTGGGTATAAAATCATGGGAATTCTATTCATTAAAAATGAACAAGATAATTTCTCTAATAATATTGAAAATCGATGGTGGTGCACTAATTTAATGTCTGTACATCCTGAACTCGACCTCGAGAATTTAGGATTTTCAGCATCAAAATCACCTCTTCTAATGAAGTTTGGAGATGCGCCTTAATTTGGTATGTGAAGTTTTGAGATACGCCTTAATTTGGCATATGAACTCTGAGAATCGAGGATTTTCAGCATAGAAACCACCCCTACTAATGAAGTTTTGAGACTCAAATGTTATCAAAACCGGATCAGCCATTGGCATTGGACTCTGGAAGCCAAAACCTGTTTAGTTGAACTAGTTGGATTAAATTTTGAGTTTTATTGGATGGGGTTTCTATAATGCCCACGGCAAGAAAAAGTAAAGCGCCACTTCAAAACATTGTTTGGAAAACACTTGGGGAATGTAAAATCCCTATGATGGGAAAACACTTGGGGTATGTGAAATCCCTATGATGGATTGAAAATTGAAATCCCTATGATGGATTGAAAATCTATTTCCGGTGTCTATTATGAAATTTGTAGCTTAAAAATTGTATAGATCTTGTGGATTTGGATTTGTGAACACGCGAGATTTTGTGGATTTGGATTTGTGAACACGTGAGATCTTGTGGATTTGGATTTGTGAACACGTGAAAATGAATGGTTTAGATAATAGTTTATATAATAACCTTATTTTTATGTAAATGAATTATTTTAACATTTTCCTTTTGCTTTTTAGCCAAAATTGATGCAGGCCGGCCGTGGCTTGCAAAGTATTGCCGGTAGTCACTCACTCAACTCCTAGTATGAGGATGCATACAACTCTTTAAGTGCAGTAGAAAATTGCCTGTAACAAGCAATATTTTCATTTAAAAATTCATTACTATATTTTAATCCCACATATAGTACTTTTTAGACTCAAAACCTATGTTTATATGCTTATAAAAGATTAGTTATAAAAGATTAGATTGGAATATCAAACCCCACATTTGGAACTCTTAAAACAATAACTGGAAAATAACTCTTCATCTGTAGTAAAATAACTCCCCTACAATCGTAGTTTATATATAAACTGGCCTAGGCATTGATCAACAGTCCAACTGGTCGGACCAATTGGTGTTTAGTTTTGATATGGTGTCCGCCTAATATGGACACTGAATTATTGCATCAGCACGCCCCAAATGGTCAACGTGAGAAATGAAGAATTATGATTGCACGTCTTTTAAAATTTTTATTTTTGGTAAATTGTATCAAATTTGAAATCTTAGATGTTTATTTCAAGAAATCAAAAAATAAGTCGTGAAAAATAAAATGACGAAAATAGCATGTAGCATACAATTAATTTGTCTGATTTATTATTCACAAATTATTTTTAACATATTTGTAGTTCGCCTGATTGCGTAAAATTTCAATTCGATTTGCTAACACATTAATTTTTTTTTTTCAATTTAATACAATTTGTGAAAAATTTAAAATTCAAACAAAACAAAATTGTGGCCATCAAAAACTCGTCATTCTAATATTTTGATGGCGAAGTGGAAAGTGCAGATGCACACGCATGCACAAAAAATAGGTGTGTCAAGGCTTGTACAGTAATTGAAGCTTCATAAGTTGGAAATGGCTGAGGAGCCCATCCCAGCCCTGAAAATCTAGGGCTTGGGCCACAAAATGTGGTCAGAGGGTTGTACTAGGGCCAGGCTACCATGGCATGAAATTCAGGCAAGGCTGGCCTGCTAAAGCCACAACGGGGCTGGTCCTATCTTGCCCAGCTCAAACCTAATTTTCCCCCTTATTTTTTATTTTTAATACTGCAGATTAGCTAGCCCGATCAGCCCCAAACTGGGACAAAGCCGGGCTTTGGACTCGGGGCTCCTCGTCCCTTGACCAGGCTGGTCCTGATTTGGGTTGACCCTAGTTGGATCTGGGTTGGTCTTGGGCCAGGGTTGGCTAGGCCCAGGCCTAACTCGTTGCCAACCTTAGTATCCAACTTAAACAATGTGACCTAAAAATCTATTTGCATCCTAAATATAAATTTTTTTAGTGATATATATATATATATATATCCAATCGAGATGATCAATTAGAGAGTTTCTAGTTTCAAATGACTTTTTTTCGTTTGATCTTTGAGGTGCACTTTGTATAAGAAAACCTTATATAATATGTTGTGACATGCGATATTATTTCTTTAATGCTATATATATATATATATATCCGGTCGAGATGATTAATTAGAGAGTTAGAGAGTTTTAAGTTTCAAACGACTTTGAAGCTTCAAACGACCTTTTTTCGTTTGATCTTTGAGGTGCACTGTGTATAAGATAACCTTATACATCAGACCTTTTTTCGTTTGATCTTTGAGGTGCACTTTGCATAAGATAAACCTTATACATCAAAGGAACGTGCGCCTCTAAATCTTGCTAAAAGGCGCAGTTATGGCACTGAATATGATGACCTAATCTACGTTATTTTGGAAACAATTGGAAATTTAAGGAAAAAGTTTATATAAGGCTGTGAATTACATATGCATCTCAAAAGTCCATCGGAAAATGTTGTTTTAATATTGAAAATACTTCTAATTGATCATCTCGGCATCGAGATGCATGAATATGAAAAGAAAAAAAATTTTAGTCTCAGAAATAGTGCATCTTACAATGCATTATCTAGACCGTCCATTTTCAATATTTTCATATGTTTATAGATCTACTTGATTTTAAGCATTTTTTGAGTTTAAAGTTTTATAATTAGATATGAAAATAGATTTTGAGATAATCCTAATAATTTTTTTCACTAAAATTACATGTTATGATAACATTTGAAAGTGCGCCTTAATTGGATAGTTTAAGGTTGCAACCTTATAGAAATTACATCCTTTAAAACATGGATGGTTTAGATAAAGTCTTCCCAACCCCTATAGGCAAAAATGAACAGTGGTACCACCTATGTTCATCACCATCTAAAGTTCATTGTACGGTCACGATTGTCTGGTAGTGTTTTATTTTTTATTTTTTTTCTATAAATCAGAATGATCTGAAATTTGGAGTGTATATGCATCTTTGTGAGGCGCACCTAATAAAAATATATATATAAAAAATATTTCGTAAAATATAAATTGACCAAAATACCATCGTAATTTTTCAAAGGTATTTTGGTTAACTTATATTTTACAAATTATATTTTTTATATTTTTCTTAAATTCTCCTATTTTTGATGAATACACACTCCAAATTTCATATCATTCTGATTTGTAAAAAAAAAATGAAAAATAAAACACTACCGGACAACTGTGACAGAGCGATGAACTTTGGATGGTGATAAGCATAGGCGAAATCACTATTCATTTTCGCCTTTAGGCGTTGCGTAGTATAT